AGCTGAACCTCCCTGGATTTACAGTAAACTTCCAGAAGCAGCACTCCCTGCGGAGACCAAAGAGGGGGATCTCCAGTGAAGGCCAGGTTCCGCCCATCGCCTGCCAGCTGGAGGCTGTAAACCAAAGAAGGGGCATTACTCCTCGTGCAGGGGTCCCATGACGAAGTGTAGGCTACTCCCAGCCACCAGGGAGGGTGCCTCCTCCCCGCTGAGGCTCCTCCCTACCTCCAAACCCACAGAGCATCCCTCTGGGAAGAACCCAGCCTGCACTGCTTTCCCTCTGTGAAAACATCACGGGCTTATAATAAAACATCTAGGCAGGTTCCAAGGAGAAGTTTGAGGGAAGAGAAGAAGGAAAGGGAGCAAAGGAGAGTTTGCAGGTGTCATGGGTGTAGAAAATTAACGCAAAGTAGGGAAACTCATCTAATCCAGTCTGGCAGTGTTACAGGGATGTGTACATTCATTCACTCAAGAAATACTTATTTAGCATCTTATATTTACATGCCTTATATTTATAATATGTGTGTGTACCCATACACACACACAACACGCATATGCATATGTAAATACATACATATATAATCTCTCTCTCTCCCCCTGTCTCTCTCTTACTGCATGTTCAGGATTCTCAGTTTGTAAATGCCATGGTGATGTGCAGACATGGCTTATTTCCCCCATCTATCATTATTGGGCACCCACAGAAGAGTGCCTGTTTGGCATCATTGCCAATAAATCTCAACTTTCTTTTAAGAAGTCCCAAATATCTCACGTGTGATAACCACCGTTCACTGGGCCCTTTTGATGGCTTCAAGTCTGGGGAAGCGGTTTCCTTGTGTGTCTCTCTCTTCCTGCAGGAGGCTCTCGAGAAGGCCAGGGACAGAGCTGCAGACATACCCACCCTTCAGGACTTAGTGCCACCTCAGAGCCACCTTGGAGGCTGGACTGCTCCATGGGGTAGGTGAGGTCCTGCCCGTGGCCCCATGAGTGGTCAGAGCTGCCAAGGGCAGGTGTCCTTCTGCTCTCAGGATGGGGTGGGGCAGCCCCACCATGTAATGGGAGGTGGCATGTGGGGCGGAGGCCAGCAGCATCAATGCAGGTGTGACAGCACGGGAGGGAACCAGCTCCTCTCCTCCTTTGCAGTGGGGTTGATCCCACTGCTTGACCCCTTCCCAGGCCTAGATGAGTATCCACCTCTAGGTGATGCGCCACCTCTTTCCTGGGTCCATTTCTGTGCTGTTCAACAACAAAGGGGGTGGTGTAGACACTTGCAAATGAAGTGGTTTTCCAGAGAGCTGGCCACTGGTCGAGGCAGACAACGGCCTTTCAGGGTGAGGGTGAGAGCCCAGGTGCTGGCTTACTCCAGCCTGTGGACCCCTGCCCCCCCTCACCTGGGCTTCTGGTCAGGCTTGCTTCTCCTAACTGTGGTCTGAGCATGCAGACAGACAGCCCGGCTGGCACTGGGAAGGGCTCTGTCACAAGAGCTTCCTCTGAGGACATCCCTTGGATTGCCATCTGTCTCTGCAATGGGGCAAGGTCAGGGGTTTGGGGGGCTGCCCCACAGCTGAGCCCAGAGCCCAGGCAGCGCCTGGGCCTGAGTTGTGGCCTGGGCCAGTACTTCGCGGGGGCCTCCTTGTCCCCACCTGAGCTGACAGCAGGGCTGGTGGCTGTACTGGGTCCCCTGGCTTCCCCATCTCAAGAGGACTTGGAGCCTGGGACCCTGCTGGTTACCAGGCCTGTTTCCTTGTAATGGAAACAGGTTTTTTAAGCCATGGTGCAAGAAAGAGGGAGGAAAACAGCAGCATTTTCTAAGGAAATATGAAATGAGAAGGGGAATTAATGAGGTGGAGACACAGGAAGGCGGTTCCAGATGGCTGGAGAGGCATCTGTGCCTCAGAGGTGAGGGGCAGTGGAGCTGGGCAGCAGCAGGGACAGCGGCCTGGCAGGGCTCTGCTGTGGCCGGAGAAGTCGCTTCCTCCCCGAAGGGCCACAGCTCAGGAAGCAGGGGCTGTGGCTGGCTTGCTGCGTGGGACTCGCTCACTGCATTCCAACACAGGAAAGCCCTCCAGCCAGCAGGCCAACGCACAGACTGGCTGGGCACCATGCCGAGCACCTTGGGGCTTGGGCACAAAGATTCAGGGAACGGCTGCAAGTCCAGGAAAACCCGACACAGATCCAGGCTTTCTCCAGCACTCTGTCTCTAGCTGGGCAAGGAGAATCACTGCTGTGTCTATTACAGCGGCATTCAGAGATACCCGTGGAATCTGTGACAAAGGGGAGAGTGTCATTATCTGGCTGGGCCAATTTTCTCTCCATCTGGGTTTGCATGAGAAATATTGAAATGCAAACAGTAACTGAGGATTCCTGAATGCTGAGTGTCTGAGACTTCCGATGGCAGTTGAGTTGTGTCCCCCTGCAGCCAGGGGACCTCCTGAACCCCTCTGAACCTCAGAACACACATGGCCTTCCCTTGTCTGCTGTCGGAGTCCAGCTGGAGCTCCATCTAAGTCAGCGTGCCTCTCTTTTGGGAGAGTGGTCTCTACAATATTTGGAAGTGGACATTCACAGCAGAGCTCAGGGCTCATGTTCTGGGCAGAGTGCTTATTTCAGAGTGCTTATTTCCCGATCAGAGACGGTGAGGGACTTGCCAGGAGCCTGAGACAGGAGCTTGGGCTTCTGGCAGACTCACCTCCTCACCACTCCCTTGCTTATCGCTGCTAATCATCTTCCCAACAACAGAGGCTCCCCTGGGCTTCATGCATCTACATAAAATGCATGGAGAGAAGCCGGGGAGAGCCAGGGGCTCCTGTTTTAGTTATCCAAGTGAGTTGAATGATGAATTCTTTTCTTGTGCTATGGAAGATTAAAAAGAGAAGAAAAAAGGGAAGAGTCAGTCTTTTAAATTTTCAAAACGAGTTTCTTCCCCCTGTGCAATTATGTTTACTTATAAATAAAATAACACGATTATGAGTATGTGTACTCATATACTGTATGTAAATATATTTTACATGCATGTGCATAAATATATATAAAGAACAAGGAAATGAGCAAGTGCTAGGGGTGTATTAAAAAAAATCCCAAATGCTTCCTGCATGTCATGTATAACAGTTACATTTTTTCCCAGGGTTTGGAGGGGGGAAAAAAGTGAGAGAAAATGAAATCCAGATTTGTAATTCCTAACAGGAGAAACGTGATCCTTTTCAATGTTTAAGTAATATTTCCTGTAAAACATACGAGGCCATCTGCAAAGCCGTTTCCAGACACATTCTGAAGTGGCGGGGGCAACTGCAGGAGACAGAGCCCAGCCCACCTCGGGGCGCGGGTAGCAAAGGCTGTGGAAAGCCAGTGCTGCAATTCGGCAAAATGTCTCAGCTTCTGCGTGGTTCATAATTTGTTTAATTTACCTCTGCTTCACATACAAGGAGGGGGTCTGAAAAATTTAGCGCAAAAACTAAGAAGTGTGTGCAAAGGGTATGAGCGTGGGCACTCCCATAACCAGAATGCGACACCCTATGTGGAAAGTGAGACTGAGCTGCATCCTCAGGAGAAGGCCAGGGACAGGCAGGCAGCTCCTGGAAACTGTACAACCAGAGGCACTCTGCTCAGCTCCACCGGCATGCATGAGGAAGCTTTTTGGCTATTTAAAACTGTTATAAAATTTTGATTTTTTGTTGTTGTTGATCTCCAGGGACACCTTATGAATTCGTGGTGGTAGAATGATCTGGTCCTTGTATAATAATCACTTTGTGAAGGGTCCTGTTTTTACAAATTCTCATCTTGTCTGAAATCACCAGGAAATACATCTATCCTCTAGGAATTTCCATTCAGCTTTTATATAACCAATAATCAGTCCCAATTTTAATACTAGCATTGATTAATTTTTTTCCTAGAAAGTTAAAATTTCATGTTGGTGCAATATGACTTTAAGTAAATATTATATATTCTACAGAATCATACCCATGCATAAGCAAGTCCGCCCTGCCCCAAGGTCTCATGTAAAGTTTTGCCAGATCTGATGTGGGTACCAATCAGCAGCTGGCTGTGGTTTATTTTTTAATGAACCACAGGGTATTATTTGGATTGCACATTTAAAATTTTAAAATAGAACCTTAGCCATTGTGCTTGAAAATATTCTCCCAAGTGGACACAGCCACGAAAAAACATCTGTATACTTCCTCATTTGAAAATGGCGTTTGTTTTACAAGTGACATGACTCATCAGGTCAGTAGCTGTTCTTGAGGCCAGCATGGAGCTCTTTTCCTGGGGCACCCACTTCCCTCTTTTATTGCTCTCCTTCCTTTTGGCCTTTTGTCTAGGTCTCCTCTGCTCACTAGAAAAAAGATGAGTCACCGCTAAGTCTAAGTGAAACTTGGGAATAATTTACTCCAGAATCGGGGAGGTGCCCTCCTTCCCAACGCGCTCCTTTGCCCACCCACCGATGCATGCAGGCCATTGGGGCACCCAGGGTTGCATTCCTATGTCTGTATCATAGTTCAGCTTCTGCCACACAGCACAACTTTAACAGCAGAGAAGTGTGAAAACCAGAAGGCTCAGAGCCGATAGTAACCAAGTGCAAATTTCATGAAAGGCCCACGCTGGCTAGTCAAGCTGTTTGACACTTTCTGGCAAAATAAATATGTGACACTTCACTGCTCAGAGGAGCGCCCTCTGCCATTTTCCCAAGGGGGCTCCCCATTCCGACATCCAGGAGGACAGCCTGCTCTCTCAGGGTCCGGCTCAGCATGTGGTCTGAGAGGGTGGTCGGCAGTATCTGGCCCCAGCTTGCTTTAGAGATGCACAGAGCACAGGAGCTGAGGCGCCCAGGAAGGGAGGGACTGGCAGCCTTTCACCGCCTTGCATTTTCAGGTTGGGTAGAAAATCTCTGGCACCCTCCCACCTCAAAAAAAAAAAAAAAAAAACAAAAGCAACGAAAAAAGAAAAGGGGCCCTTTCTTGCCCGGAGCAGCTGCTGCTGTTGCACTTTTGCATGGGGGTGGAGGGATGGATCAGCCTTTTTTCAGATGGGAAAACATCCCTGCAGCTCAGGGAGGCTAGAAGCAGGATGCCATCTATTCACAGGGCTATGGTCAGTGTGGCTGGAGATGGTCGATTTCAAAGAGAGGCCTGCTCTAATTGTGAAAGGCAAACCCAGCCAGGGGCCGCTTCTCCCTGAGAGGGTGCAGACTGCGATCTGGATCTGCCTGGAACGACTAATGGAACAGGTACTTTCAGACTGGGCACAGAGAAATCCAAGGTGGTTTGGTTTTGTCATTAAAAGAATGTTTCTTTCAAGACAAGAGGGAGGTTTTACTGCTGCGGATGGGTGGACTTGGCCTCCCTTGTCAGGGAGATGTTCCCTGGCCGTCCAGTGACCTGGTCTTAGGAGACTGGGGCAGGTTTCTGACAGGGTGGAGTGGTGGGTGGACCCTGCCCTCTTGCACAAGGGTGCCTTCCTCTGGACAAAGCTCTCTTGGGGTAGTCTTCGGAGAAACCACCCAGGAGAATTAAAATTCATGGGTTAATTTCTTTAAACAAATTGTGGAGAAGCCTAGAATGCTTGTTCTCATTTGATTTTCTCAATCTTTTTGCTTTGGGTTGCTCTTAGAAAAATAAAGCAGCACTCTGGCTGCGGTTTCCTGGACTTGTTCCCTCGGTCCTTGGGAAAGAAGTCAAAGGTGACATTTGCTCTGACATGCACTAGGAGGACCCTCTCTTCCCTCCCAATCAGACTGCAGGGGGGCCTTGGAGAGTGGGATGGGGCAATCAGCTGGCGTCCTGAGCCTCACTGTGTGAGCCAAGGCCATCTCCACATGTGCCAGACAGGGTCAAGCAACAGTTTTAAGACAGGTGGAGAATAAACAAATGTAAATGTTAAATATGGTGATTTACGGCTGACTTTCATTAAGTTCTTCCTTAGGAGGAGAGCATTTTACGGGGCACCAGGGACCCTTAGAATGGCTCAGATGGAGTTCTAAAACAAGACAGAGTCGTTTTCTCACACATCCAGCTTCACGATACAGAGCCCAATAGAAAAGTCTACTTTGCTGGGAAATTGTCACCTAATTACATAGGCAGCACTTCCCGGGCAGGAGGGGTCAGGTGCTTATAAGACTAAGCAAGGGCATGCAGGTGCTGGGCTGGACGTGGACCCTGGTGGCCTTTGGCACTTGCCTGCTAGACTGTAAATGTGAACTTGATGGAAATTAATTAATTTATTCCGTCTTCCCTGGGAAACTTTCTTCATTTGCTTTCAGAGCCCGTGGTTGGCTGAGCAGAGTTCATTGCATCTCCTTGACAGATTGTAGGACAGAGCCCATTGAACAAGTGCCAAAGGGCCAGGAGCTCTGGAGCCTAGCGTCTTCCAGACCCCAGTGGGTGCAGCCCCTTACCCTAGATCCACACCAGACTTTGCCACCACCACCAGCAATCCTGGAGGTTCCTACTCATGGACTTAGCAAGAGGGAAATGTCTTGGCATTGCCTCTTCTCCACCCCTTTAGAACTCAGTCACCTTCCTCCCCAGCTTGGCTTTTGCAACTGGAAAACTTCAACTGTCTTTCTGCCCCATGCCAGCCCTGGATAGCCCCTTGCTCCAGGGCCCTGTCACCTCCTGCATACTGGCACCCATTTTCTCACCTCAGAGTGGAAGGGCAATCACTCTACTCCCTTCCCTCCATCTCCTCGACAGTCACACTACAGAAGAGGGAAGGGGGTATCAAGACTGTGCTTGGAGGTATCAGATACAGAACTGGGCCTTGGAGGGTGCCCAGGACTGGGGGCAGGGACTACAGAGCTATTCCTCAGTGGGGTCATTTCCTGCTTGAAACAATGGGGAGGTTTTGGAAATAGATAGGTGATGGTTGAACAACATGTGAGTTTAATTAATGACAACTAACCATATGCTTAAAATGTATGCAAATATATATTAACATAATTAATAATTAATAAATATATATATTATACACACATATATATATGGTATATATTTTAATAATGAATAAAATAAAAAAAATAGGTTCAGAATGAATTCCAAGGTCCTGGCCATTCAGTCCCTGACTTTGTGGAAGTGCCCCAACCTGAGATTCCCACTCATCCTGGGAAGCTCCTGCTAGGGTCACAAACTCCCCTCCCCCATCCAGATCTCAGAGCAAGCCAGGTCTCCTCCCAGTCCCCCAGTCTATCCATCCAGGGACTTGTCAGGCCTTAGGCCCATCAGCAGGGTGGGTCCAGCTGGTGCCTGCGAGGCCATCAGTGGGCACACATTATTGAACAGCTTTGAAGACAACCCATAGGGCGGGCAAACCCTGGGCTGCCAGGGGTCTTATCCATGCAGGTGCAGGTGGATGCTGCCTCAAGAGTAAGATGAGACAAGTCCTGGCCCCAAATCAGTGTGCTGGGAATACCTTGGTGTCATCACTGTTTCCTTCAAGTTCGATCTCATTGTCCTGAAGGGTAAGATGGGGAGAATGGCACAGCCCTGGAAGGGCTTGGCTGGATGGCTTCCTCTGGAGCCTCAGGGATTGTGCCTTTGCAGACATGAGCTCTGCAGTGAGTGGGAGCAGCCTCCAAACCGCCAGGGCTCTGGTCACTCATGCTTTGTTCCCTCCATTCTTCTGGCCTGGTGTTTTGCTTCCAGTGTACCCCGCTGCACATTTATTAAAGGCTGCGTTGGTGGGACTGAGGCTGAATCTGTCCCAGGTAGGCTTATGAGTAGCAGATTGCAAAATCCTAAGAAATGCAAATTTTCACTTCTATTTCCCAACAGTGGAGCAAAGTAGGAGGGGGGAAAAAAGGTTACAGAATATTTGAATAAAAAAATCTGACTTAACCAGTAACCAGGCAGACTCAGAAAATGTGGCATGAGATTAGGTCTCCTTAATTAGAATGACTAACAGGTACCAAAATGACTTAAATTTAGCAATACCTTAAAAAAAATTTTTAATACTTTGCCTACCAGATTCCTGGTATAGAAGCTTGTTTTAGGAATTGTTTTGGGTCCCACAAGTCAGCTAACCTCTCAAATGAGATTAAAATCTTTGGGTTTGGTAAAGTTTGCATGAATATTTTACATGGATCCATCTTTAATTAGGTTATAACATTAGAAAGTGCCGTGCCGCACTCTCTTTCCACAAATTAGACCCGAGCCCCACAAACAAATTAATTTGCGTCTCAGGGTTTCGACTGGGCCCCTTGGCTCCCCCAGCCTTCTCACAAGTACAACTGACCCTCTGGATTTCAAATGCCTGAGGGTAAAAAGCAATTATAAAAACATGACTCTCCCAGATCAGCTTTCGCCTCTGCCTTGTCTCTGTTTTATTGATGGGAGATTGAAGGAAGATTCAAATCAGCCATCCTTCAATTCTTCACCAGCAGCAAAATGCAGAAATCATTAGCTTTTCCTGTGTAAAAGACTTTGTCCTGCCTTATTATTCAAAACTGCTTGCTTGTATGAGTCAAAAAGGGCATGTTGAATATTTATTTCTAATTTTCAGCACTGGTAAATATTATATCGCTTTGTTCCCAATGTTCTTTTTATTTTGCAAATTTTATAGCAATTAATTAATGCAGCACCGTTATTAGCAATGTCTCCCCAGTTTCCACTGCCTGCATTTAAGATGATGCCGCTCGTAAGGGCTTCTTTGGAGAGATTTCACAGACAGGCTGTGCTGGAATTATGAGATCAGTTCTAGGTGAATAGGAACTTGTTCTCGGTGGGGAAGCCTTTTACTGCAACGAGATGGCTGTATTGCAAACCTCGCCTTGTGCATCACACAGCTAATTTTATTTAATTACAGTCCCCTCCCAACAAAAAAAGAAGAAGAAGCTTGGTATACAAAGAGCTCGTTGTCTAGGTTGGAATAAAGTGAGAAATGAGGGTCAGCAATGCAGCAAGTTAAAGAGAAGGCTGGGGTCACTCACAGTGACCAGAGTCCACCCCCAAGGAGAGCAGAAGAGTACAGCCTGCTTTCAATATCTGGCAACACATTCCTATTTATTCACAAGGCTAATTTTAAATGCTGCTATTCCAATTTTATTGGTGATATAATTTTCTATCTCGTAGAATCCTGAATTCTGTTGATCGATAAAAAATAATGAATATGTTGTTGTGAGTGGGAAAATATAATGTTCCTTTGGCCAATGCATCTGATCCATATCTGTAGCTAAACTCCATACTTGAGGCAAAAAAAAATATGTCTTGTTTTAAGAAAGAGACTTAAACTCATCTTAATTCTCCTATATCCAACCAGCAGAAAAGGGATTCCTCTGTAAAGCAATTGTGGATGGCTTCTCAGGGCAGAATGCAGGTGACTTCAGGGCATCTGGAGGCAGCGGGTTGTAGGAGGCAGAGGCAACAGAGCACCTCCATGGGGTTTGGGGGTGAAGGAAAAAGAGGAGGCAAGATGGTAGCCTAAGGTTTACCTGGGCCAAAGGCAAGAGTTTGAGACTGGAGGAGACCCTGAAGTCCTCATAGGAGGAGAGGAAGGAGAGAGGAGTGACAGTTGACAGAGCAGGAAAGTCACACCTCTCTGCAGAGGTGACTTCAGGATGTTGGGCAAGGAGGAGGTGCCCAGAGCACTCCGGGAAGGATATGCCTACCTCCTGTCTGTACACGGCCTTCCTCTTTCAGGGCCTAAAGCAGTTTGTAATAGTTGGATTACATCTGTGACTCCCTTGCCCCAGGGCTAGCACCTTGATAGGGTTCTCACTGCCACAGCTCCATGCAGTGCAGACTTCTCCAAAGTCTCCCCTGTGCTGAGGGTTGTGAGGCTCAGAGAAAGATAGCAGCCAAATTTCCCCCCAGTCCCCTGGCCAGCAGAGCTGGACCCTGCATTCAACCCCTCCTCTGCAATATACAGGAGCCCAGTCCTGAGGCAGGGGTGCTAAAGGGCCAAAATGCAAGAGGCAGTGAGGCTCTAGTAGGTGGTACACCACCACCATAGGGTCTTAACAGACTTTGATAAAGGTCATTTCAGCTCCTGAGAGCAGCGCGTAGTCCCGGGGATGGCTTGTCCCAGAGAGAGGAAGGGTAGGGACTAGCCCTGCACACGCTGTTCCTGCTGCCCCCAGGGTTTGATCTGGAGCAATTTTGTCAGGCTGCAATTTTAAATAGCCAGTGCTTTATTTTTGGAATCCCAGAATGTGAGCCGGGTTTAATGAACCTAAAGCTATAATGTTTTACTTCTCCTTTGATAAAAATTTGTATTTCATATTTTAAAAATTGCACTCATTCTGCCAGTTGGTGTTACCAGCCAAGCGTGACCCATCCAAGCAACATCCACAAACTGTACTTTTTCTTGGTCACAGCGTCTTTGTAATAGTCTAGCCATATGCTACAAAATCGGAGTGAAGTTGGAACCATGTCCAGGAGGCACTCTAGTGAATTAGAGGCAGAGGTCACTTTGAATTCCCGAGCACACCCAGAATCTTTCCTGCTCATTGCGAATTCGCCCACATATTCAGAATGTTGAACCCCAAAGCAGGCAATATTCACCAAAGTCAAAAATTCTTGAACTTGCTTTCTGAGTGATACAGAAAATAAAACGAGTGATGCTCTCTAGGCCTCAAAGCTATTTTCTTTAACACGTTGTCGAGGCTTAGATACTTGTGACCAATCTAGGGAGAAAATATTTGGTGCTCACTGAAACAAAATAAACACATTGCGTTTTTCTAAGATATACTTTCAGATTTTGCAAAGAGGAGATACATTTTGTAGCTTCCATATGACATTTTTCTGATGATAAGTTGGGACTCTGTAAGTAAGTAAGCCCATGTCTTTGCTCATCTAGGTGTCCTCTTGACCACAGTGTTTTTATTGCTAAGTGTATCCTTCTGAGGAATGTCCCAATTTAGCTAAATCCATGTGTGTTTATGCTTTTTTGCTAGGGGTACATTGTCACAATTAGAACAGCATTTGATCTTTCTTACCAAAATGTCTTCCTAAAAGGCTGTATTGGCTTTTGTGCAGGGGACACGTATAAGCATGTTCTTTCCCTGAATCCTCATGCTTACCATCAACCATCTACCTGTTTCTCTATGTGTCTATCATCCCTCCCTCCATCCATCGTGAACAGATAGATGCCAGTCTCTGAGATGACATGGGGGTTTTACTGCCTTTAAATGTGCATTCTTCTTTTAAACAATTTGTGTTTGTCTTGGTGAATGCTCTTTACCTGTGTCTCCAAGGAGGTTTTTATTTCCTGTCAATTTGTGAAAACTCTGCTTTTATATTTTAACATCTGATTTTCTCAATTGGTCATTTGTGTTTTGTTCGATCTCCATTATTTTTTGACCACCAGCAGTGTAACATCTTTTTATGGTACATTTACCAGTCTTTTCCATTATAGCCTTTGCTCTGCACATCACCCTCAGATAAGATCTCCTGTTATCAGATTGTACAGTTATTTTTATTATGCATTTTCTCTTTTTTATGGTTTTATAATAAATTTAAGTCCCTCTGGGATGGATCTGACTTAGATTTAATTTCCAAAATGGGTGGTAATCTCCCCCAATGCAACTCATTCGACATCGACATGAATGGCGTGAATGCCAGGAGGTGCCCTTGGCTCTGGTTGAAGGTGTTGTATTCCTCTGTATGCGTGCGTCTCTCTCCATGCCATCCTTCCTACCTCTGAATCAGTGCTCTTAAATATGTCCTGATATCTACTTAGACAGGTCCTCCCCTTTCCTATTATTTATCCTACTAAAATTATTTTTCAAATGAACTCTAGGATTATTTTATCATTCAAAAGAATTTCTTATGGGAATTTCATTGGAATTATGCTGAATTTGTAGATTAATTAGAAAGGACTGACTACTTTAAAATTCTGGGTCTTTCATTTAAAGACATAGTTTGCACAGGTTTTATGGATTCCTTATTGATTCTTAGTTATTTTATATCTTGGGTAACAGTACCTGTTGACACTTCTCTTCAACCCATAGGATGAAAAATATTTATATCACTTTAGGGTTTTTTTTTTCCATTTTTCTACCAATTTAGTTTCAGATTTGTGTATTCCAAGAATTATTCATATTATTGTTATTACATTATTTCACATTATTTAACTAAGATATTTTGAACTTTGTAATGTTTCTTTCTTTCTTTTTTGTACTGTGGATTGAACCTGGGGCACTTTACCTCTGAGCTACATATCCAGCCTTTATTATTATTATTATTTATTTTGTTTTGAGACAAGGTCTTGCTAAATTTCCTAGGGCCTCGCTAAGTGGCTGAGGCTGGCTTTGAACTCATGATCCTCCTGCCTCTCAGCCTCCTGAGTTGCTGTGTACAATCATGCCCTGCTGATTATCATGTTAAGCCTACTTAAACTATTAAATTTTTGTAGTTTCTTACTATCCATTTTTTCACACTATGAATTCCCACTTTCTGAAATGTACATTCTGGTTTATTTTTCAGCCTGCTCAAGTTGAATGTTGGTTAGTTTCTTTGATATTGGAAGTGCAGGGTGACAATTCCTAAATCACAAAAGCAGTAGCTTGGTTGCCAGTATAATTTCCCTCAAAACTTTGTTGTTTTGATGTTTTTGATGATGTTCTGTGTTTGTTCTAGAATTCATATATTTGAGAACTAGTTTGAATAGTCTTTCTTCTCCCAGCCTGGATGACAGGACTGAGAATGTGCCCGGCAGAATGTTTCTGTGGATCATGTTGTTGTAGGTGTTAGTATGTGGGGAGTTCATTTTCTGTAAAAACTTACTTTAAAGGGGAAGAGAAATTACTCAGTTAAGAAAAGTTCTTTCACCAATGCTTGCCCCCTGCATGCCCATGGGTTCCTACTGTGTACATGGTGAGTTTCCTGGAACTTCTTCCACCTCTGCCAACTTCTTTCATCACATATGCATCTCTACTCTTTAGCTTTAAAACCTGGGCAAATAAAAACAATGAAAAAGTCAGAGACTGTTTTCTGCATTTTCCAATATGATTTTTGCTGGTGCTTTATTAAAAAATAGCACTCACACCCCCACACACCTGCCGCAGTCTGGCTGGGCACAATTCAGGAGCCAC